TAGTCATGTCTTTTGTTTTTGTCAAGTTGTCCATTTTTGTATGACATGTAATGCTTCTTTTGTTTTCTTCTTTCAATTAAAAATTAATATTTTTATTTAAAAACTATTAAAATTAATATTCTTATTTATACCTTTTATTCTTGAAAAACACGTCCAAGATTCCTGCCAACAACGACAAAAAGAGGAGGAAGGATGGAGCAAATTGAGTTAAAAGAAAAAACGAAGAGTTCACGAGACACGAGGAGACTTAAGTAGGGGTGGGCATCGGTTCGGTTCGGTTGGAACCAAACTTGAATTGACGGTTTTAATCGGTTGTTTATTTTGTGAAATAACAACTAAAAACCGAACCGAATAATATTTTGGTTTTTCAATTCGGTTATTAAATTAATCGGTTCGATTGACATCGATTTCGGTTTTGACTGATTCCAGCCTTGAACCCTTAGCAACTTTTTTTTTTTTGGATTTGGGCCTTTCGTTTTCTGGCCCAAATATCTATTGAATACTTTGTGATCCATTTCTTTTAATTTTAGGTTTAAGTACCATTTTGGTCCCTCAACTTTACACTTTGGTATCAAAATTATCCCTCAATTTTAAAAAGTACTAAAATTATCCTTAAAATTTCATTTTCGGTACAAAAAAGGTCCTTCCATAAGTTAAATGACAGATGGCACGTTATCTTGCCACAAAATCACATTTTAAAAGAAATAATAATTACGTGGAAAACAAACTTGATGAAATTGCATTATTTTTCCACGTGGCTTTTTTTTATTTAAATAAAAACTCAGCTAATTTGTTATTATATTGTTCATCTTCTTCTTCCTCCCTTCTTCTCTCTCATCCCTCCGCCCCTTCTTTTTTCCCAGCCTTTTTCCTCCTCACCTCATCCATGGATTCCCCCAAAAAACAATCTTTGATCTGGGTTTTCTTTCTCCAACTTCATCTTTTTCCTTTCCCTGCTCATCATTCTTTTTTCTTTCTCTTATTCTTTCTCTTATTCTTTCTCTTATTCTTTCTCTCTCTCTTCTCCCTTCTTCTTCCTCTCTCAAAACCCAGATCTGGGTTTTTCTAGATCTGAGTTTTTCTCTGATTATGTTCTAGATCTGGGTTTTTCTCGGATTATGTTGGGTTCTAGACTCATAAAGCTTTTCGAGCTCTGTAAACTCCGAATCTTGTACCGGAGCTCATTTGTTTTTCTTCGTCGCAGAAAGCCCTTTCCGATGATGCCCAGACTTGGCTTACAAGTGTCAAGCGTGTTTATTTGAGTTAGATGTTGAATGCGCCTTGCTTCCCACAGCAAATTGTGAAGGTGCCAATGTGTTTTAGAAGGTATATATATTTTATATTTTCCTAAACAATAATACGGGTTTTCGGGTGTATTATTCGGTTGTTCGGTTGTTGGGCTTGGAACCGAAGCCCGCACCGATTATAAACGGTTGATGCGTAAAACCATTCCTTGGGCCCGAAGCCCGTTTGTAACTGCACCGCAAGCCCAATTTTGCTGCGGTTGTCGGGCAATCGATCGGTTGCCCGCGTGTGTGCCCACCCCTAGACTTAAGGGTGGGGATTCCGCGCGGGTAAGGTGACAACCGTGCACAAGAGCAATTATAAGGGGACCCACACGCTTAATTAATTTATCTTTTGTCACTTTCTGAAAGAATTACTTCTGTTTCTAATATTTCATTTTGCCTTTCTTCATGTTTTTTTCTTGGTTAAAACCCCATTTGGTCCCTGAAGTATGTATAG